CAATTTCGAGAAAATTCTAATTATGATACAAATAATTACATAGCAAGAATAATACAATTATAAGTACATTATACATATAACTAATACAACTACAACAAAATTATTTACATGTATAAGTTATTTACATTTTCCTACACATTGCATGAAAAACGATTGATCCGTATAAGAAAAGAACATACTTAGCTTCTTCTCTTTTCTTTATTCCTAATATTTTATCCATGTACATGAAAAAATTTAGGTCCCGATGTACTAGATTTTTTTTCTTTTTCAAAGAAAGATTGGAATTGAGAGTCAAGTAACAAAAGTTGTTTTTAGGATGCTTGTAAACTTTTTCTTAAAGAGAATTAAAGTAACTTAAAGAAAAATCAAAAGCGTTAAAAGATCATTGAGACTAGGACACTAATTACTTAGATATTACTCCTTGTTTGTGAAATTTATGAAATTTTGGAAATGCATATATTTTTAAGAACTACATAAGAAGTATTATTAAGTGTAATAAAAATTACAAGATGTTTATTCATTAGATACTACGAATAGGAAAACATAAAAATCAAACTGCTCAATCATCTTTAACCACAGATCCATCACCGATCGAGTGGTTTATTTTTTCATGAGGGTGCTCAAAAAAATCTGCCATGTCCAAGTGGATGATGTTAAATTCATTGTCATAGACATTACCTTCAATGCCTTTATTCTTTAGAGATGCTTGATAAAGCTCAACTAAATATTTTGGTATGCGACAAATATTTGCCCAATGCACTTTTTCACCACAATGATAACATTCAATTTCTGAACCATTTGCCTTTGGCCCTTTCCACTTTTGGTGGTTATTTTTCTTTGGGGGGTGATTAACACCAGGAATATTTTTTCCTTGGCCACGGCCATGACCACGAACACGGCCACAACCTTTTCCACGCTTAGAATAATGGGAATACACCTCATTCACTTCAAGCAATGGTGTAGACGTAGTGGGTCGATTTTTGTGATTTCTTATGGGCAAGTCGTTGTTTCGTTCAACCACACGGAGAAGAGAAATCAACTCAGAGTACTTCTTGAAACCTTTCTCTCGGTACTGCTGTTGCAAGACCATATTGGAGGCATGCAACGCTGTGAACGTTTTTTCAAGCATATCATAGTTAGTGATAGTATCTCCACAGAGTTTCAATTTAGAAGTAATTCTGAACATCGCAAAATTATATTCAGAAACAGACTTAAAGTCTTGGAGCCTCAGATGAGCCCAATCATACCGTGCTTGTGGAAGAGTGACCAACTTTCAGTTGTCATATCTTTCCTTTAAGTCATTCCACAAAGCAAGTGGATCTTTGACTGTGAGATATTCTATCTTAACCCTTCATCAAGGTGATGGCGCAAGAAAATCAAGGCCTTAGCACAATCTTGGGTAGATGCTTTATTTTTTGTCTTTAATGGCGTCTTCAAGACCCATTGCATCTAAATGGATTTCAGCATCCAACACCTATGTCATATAGTTCTTGCCCGAAATTTCAAGGGCAACAAACTTTCTTTTCATAATATCAGTCATAATTAAAAGAAGAGACAAGTTATACCTTAGTCTTCTCAAAGAGCTTCTTGAGACGATAGAGTCTCGTGCGATAACGTGTTATGAAATATAGCTCAAAGTAACAATATAGAACAAGGAAAAACAAGCTAAGAGATATAGAGAGAAAGAGAGGAGAGATTATTATTTTTCTTCAATTGTGTGTGTTTTCCTATCTATTACAAAGCCTTTTTATATATGCATGAAAAGTGAAGAAAATATGTCATTGAATATTCATTAAACATAGAAAATATGTTATTGAATATGTCATTAAGCATTTGAGATGAAGATCATGGAGGAAGAGTAGACATCCACCATAATATAATTTGATATTTCTTATAACAAATTGGGACTTCTTGGTAATTATTTCAATTTGTGGATTTGGACATTTGGTAGTGTATGGACTTTTCAATTTCATAAATGTGAAACTAAATGTTGTTGTCTTCATAGGATGTGAAGGCATGATATGAACTTAATTAATACCAAGTTGAAATTGTCAATGGTCTTCCTAATGTAACTGAATTTAATGAAAAAAATTGGTCTACAATGCGCGTAGAGACATGGCCCTCTTTTGACGTACGACTGCATTTGTTCCAATGGATTTGTTTTTTCTCCATTATTAGTTCAGTTGTTGACCTTCATTCCACATGTTAATCCAATTCTATTTTTGGTCATCATCACATTTTTGGCCAATTAAGAGTTAAGACAACCCTAATTATTTCTTGAGTGCCCTGATTTGTATTTATACAATTCAATTGCTTAGGTGGGACCATGGTGATTTAATTCGGAGTGTAATATTCTCCCTCTTTTCACTTCTAACACTTGATATTTGCGTGACATTATAAATTTATACTGTAGAAAGCTTACTATGCGAAGTTTTAGCTCCTACGAAGGAATTTCATTTTTAGAGTTGGAACTCAACACACTTGGAAACATATAATATTTTCTCACCAAAAACTTATATTAGACTAACCCTTATTAGGAATGATGATGGACATGGACGGCAAAGCTAGACTCCATACAATTTGAATTATTCAAAGAAAGTGTTCTGGGTGAGATTTCAATTACTTGATCTCTAAATTAACAACTTTTCCTTTAAGTTTATAGATCAACCCTTTAGAGTTGAACTTCACATTTATCAACTATTGGAATCTATTTATTTATCTTCCTTTTATTTTCTCTATAAGATAAGGTTCAAGTTAGCATGTACTAAATCTTTGTTAGAAGTGCTAGAGAAAGCCAACCATTATTCAATTTATCTGCTAATAAAAGCAAAAAAGAATATTATCGCTTAAAAAGTCTTCCAAGTGCCCATTGCCAACTTCTCAAAAAGGTATCAGTGTGTAGTTCAAAAATTAAACTAAGAATTTTCACATTAGAGATGTCCAAACTTTTGATAATGCTATTTATTTTATTCAAAATGCCATTTCATTTGGAAAGCATTAATATGCATTATACACAGTATTAAACCAATTGAAGTATCGTAAAACTAGGGGAACTGGTCTTTGGTCTATTAGTTGATTGCCAATGTCATTTGTCCTTTGAATAGCAAGCACTCTATTTCTTTGCCCAAGCGGGCGTTTGGACTGGTCTTTGGTCTATTAGTTGATTGCCAATGTCATTTGTCCTTTGAATAGCAAGCACTCTATTTCTTTGCCCAAGCGGGCGTTTGGACTGGTCTTTGGTCTATTAGTTGATTGCCAATGTCATTTGTCCTTTGAATAGCAAGCACTCTATTTCTTTGCCCAAGCGGGCGTTTGGACTGGTCTTTGGTCTATTAGTTGATTGCCAATGTCATTTGTCCTTTGAATAGCAAGCACTCTATTTCTTTGCCCAAGCGGGCGTTTGGACATAAGAATTGTAAAATTCTAAAAAAGTAAAAAAAAAAAATTCAAGTGAAAATGGTATTTGAAAATTAGAATTGTGTTTGGACATGAATATAATTTGGATTTTTTTTTAAATTTTTGTGAGTGATCTGAGTGAAAATTTTGAAAATAACTTTTTGGAGTTTTTTAAATTTTCGAAAAATTCTAAAATTCATCTTCAAGTGAAAATTGAAAATTTTATGGCAAAACACTGATTTCGTAAAAAAATAAAAAAATTTCGAAAAAGTGAAATTTTTTTATGGCCAAACGGGCTCCAAAATTTTATTTTCATCCCTAATCCTATTGCTTGCAGTAAAAACCAAAAATACTGTGGAAGTAAAAGGCCAATTTTCTTTTTACTCACCCTCCCTTTTTTACTTTCTCACATTACCTATAAGTGATGGGTAAGGTATAATATGCTTGAACCACCTAAGAATGTGTCTTAGTGGTTAATAAAGCGGGTGAAAAAATCATGAGATCTCAAGTTTAAATTTTAGTGTAGGAAAAAAAATATATTAGGTGATTATTTCATATCTGCCTAAGCTTTGGCAAAGTTATCGTGCAAATAGAAGATAACAGGGATTTGAAACTTATGGGTTAGTGATTCTAATTTTTTTAAGTTATCGGATTCTAAATTAATAATTTATACATATTCATTGAATTTTCTAAGGCAAATATAGGGTTTGAACTAAAACTATTGAGTTCGACCAAACCCGTAGGCGACATGCTAGTTCCACCCCTGATAACAGGTACCTAATAAAATACTCAACATGCACGCGAGCGGTCCAGACACCGCTGTCATGGAAAAAATATAAAATACTTAGCTCTTGTTTGGTCATAGATTTTGGCTACCTGTTTTCGATTTTTTTTTAAAAACATTGTTTTTCATGGAATATGATCATTTTAAAGAAAAAAAGTGAGAATTGTTTTCAAATTAAATCCGTTTTTGGGTGGAGATTTTTTTTCCATTCACAAAATTTTATCACAAAATTTAATTTTTTTTCAAATAAAATATATATTCAAATACAACTTCAACTTTTAAAAATTATTTTTCAACATAATTTTAATATTTTTTTAAAATTTCAATCGAATATATATTCAAACGCTTGGTTGGACTTTCTTGGTATAATTCTGGCCAACTCATCAAATCACGTGAACTGCAGATTCCAATTCCGTTGACAATCTTTTTGTACTTTGCTTTTGCTACAGATATTGCAAGTATGCAACACTACAGTAGATCTTATAAGAAAAAGAGGTTTCAGATAAAATATTGATAAGGGTTGTGGTAAAAACTGGTGATAAACAGTTGAAAAGCAAGGTTCTTTATTAAGTTGAAATGGATTTAAAAAGTACAAGTGCTGACCAAAGAACATGGTCGAAAAGTCGATGATCAGTTTTAGTACTACTTTTTCTGTTAATAAAATAATTTATAGTACTAATTCCTTAAACTCCTTTTCATTTTACCACTTAAATTAAATATTTTCACTGTTAGAAAAGGAAAAAGGAAACAAAACGGAAACCCAGCTGTACTATAAGAAAGAAAAACAAGTAGTCCCCTCTGACTGGCTGTAACATTAGTACAAACAATAAATAATAAAGATAACAAAGTCAATAAGGGAAGCCCAAAAACCCAAAGCAAAAGCTTTGACAGCCATTCTTGCCTGCACAGCAAATCCAACACTTTCACAAACTCCATTAAATTCCATCTCCATAACTTTTCAAACTTCTAAAATTTCTTTGTTAATCTGTGATTTTGCTTCTGTTTAATCGTACATCTTACATATATAAGTTTTGGTCAAGCCAAAAGTCAATTCTTATTGGCATATCAATATTTATCTCTTTGTATCTTCGGAATTTAGGAGACTGGTGGATCGGTAAGTTGGAGACTTTTTTGCAATACCCAAATCTTGATTTTTGAAACATTTGGTGATTTTAGAAGAAAGATGGATTCTTGGATATGTTTTGGTGGTTGGTTTTTTTATCTATTTGACGATCAAGATTCTTTCTTTGATGTTGCAGGTTGTGAATTTCAGGATTTTAAGAGGGGTTATGGTTCATGTTGCTTACTATAGTAGGCGGCTGAGGAGTAACTGAATTATATGGGTAATTTATGCTGCTTCAATTCTCTCTTCTCGCAGGTGAGGTTTAATTGGCAGCTAAATCTTTTGGATTCTTTTAGGTCTTTCTTGATGCATATTTGTTTTCCTTTTTATGTTATATCCCTATTTTTTAGCTGTTACTTTAATTAGTATGTATGATAGGCTGATGCCTTTAGCTTTGTGATGGAAGTCCTTAAATGATGCTTCTCCATAGAAAACTAAAATTCATTCTTAAGCAATTATTTTAGGGGTTTAGCCAAATTATGAAGGTCTTCTTGAGTTATGTTCCTGGGAAAGACTGAGGAGTCTCTTCTAGTTATGTTTCTGGAAGGGGAGCCTTGGCGTAACTGGTAAAGTTGTTGCCGTGTGACCAGGAGGTCATGGGTTCGAGCCGTGGAAATAGCCTCTTGCATAAATGCAGGGTAAGGTTGCGTACGATAGACCCTTGTGGTCCGGCCCCTCCCCGGACCCCGCGCATAGCGGGAGCTTAGTGCACCGGGCTGCCCTTTCTTATCTATGGCTTAGGTGAAAGTGGGCTTTTGCATTTTGTGAAAATAAACTAACATGTATTGCTCTGTTCTGAAATAATTTGGATTAAATGTTGTCCTTTTTCTATGTCTGCGTACATTCTACCCTCCCCAGACCCACTTGTGCGATTTTACCGTGTTGTTGTTGTTGTTGTTGTAGTCTCTAGTATTGGCTGCAGGAAAGTGCCATCTTCGGGTCAAATGGTGTCATGACTTCCCTGTCTTAACAGTTTTTATTAACCGTCTTTGAATGACCCACCTTTGGCCCTTCGTAGAACACATGTTTCTAGAAGCCCTTGGGAATCTTAATCTGTTTATTTTCTTCTCAGTTGGCTCCTAAAGTTCTGGCTTCGTCTGTTTGCAGTGAGAACGTATTTGATGGGGAGTAATTCTCTGATATTTAGCATTCTATCCTCTGGTTTTGTTGGGACATGTAGTATTACAACTTTACCCCTCTTCCGTTGCAGGAATTACTACTTACATTTTTCATGATTGGCGTTCCGTTGGTCCTCTTTCTAAGAAAGCCTGATTAATGACTTCAAAATTTTTACTTCCATATCAGCTGGATTTTAGTTGTTATAGTAAATTTTGGTGGGGTGGTTGTTCAGTCTCAATTTTATGGGTTGTCTGCATTACATATTTGGCTGGGTTTAGAAAGCTGATGTATCATTTTGCGTTTAGCTTGCAGGAGGACGGTCATCATGTAGCTCTGGAAAAGGAAGAAGCAATCAAGGGCCTACAAAGTATGGTTTCAGCTTGGTTAAGGGGAAAGCTAGTCATCCCATGGAGGATTTCCATGTTGCTAAATTCGTCCAGTTGCAAGGACGTGAACTAGGACTTTTTGCTATTTATGATGGGCATTTGGGAGATAGTGTTCCTGCCTATTTACAGAAGCATTTGTTTTCCAATATCTTAAACGAGGTAAATTGTGGGTTTTAGGTAGCTCTGCAAAATAAACTTCTAAGCTCTGTAAGAAATGCTTGGCTCGTTGTGTTATTTATGTCTTAAGCAAGACAATTTACTTGGGGCATACAATGATAGCTATGTTGTTGATTTTCATCCAAACATATTTTACGCATGCTTCCTATTTCCCCTCTTTCTATACCTTGCACAAGGGTGGTTTTTATTGGAGAATGCTACCGGTGATCTAGCTAGAGCATTCATGCAATTTTGAGCTAAAGTATTCTTTTAGAGATCAACAAGCAGTGCTAGTAGAGACGTTGATCGACTCAGATATAAGTGTGTCATGCCAAGAACAAAATCCTAATGCATTACTTTTAACATTAAATGCATCAAATGCATGATAATTTGATCTTGGGCAGCTTTATTTCTTTACTTTAAAAAAAGGAGTCTGTTTATTGTTTCACTTTTGGGTGTTAGGGGGGAGGGGATTTTCTTTGGGTTTCTCTCAACTTTTACGTTTAAAACTTCTAGGAAGATTTTCGGAATGACCCTCATAGGGCAATCTTAAAAGCATATGAGAGAACAGATCAAGCTATTCTTTCACACAGTCCTGATCTTGGAAGAGGTGGTTCCACTGCTGTGACTGCAATTCTTATAAACGGTCGTAAGCTATGGGTAGCAAATGTTGGAGATTCCAGAGCAGTGCTCTCTAGGAGGGGTCAGGCCATCCAGCTATCAATTGATCATGAACCAAACACTGAGCGAGGCGACATTGAAAACAGAGGTGGTTTTGTCTCAAACATGCCAGGTGCTTCTCACATGCTGTGTTTTTCTCTTCTTTTATAAGTGTGCACATGCTATGGCTACTCCTGTAGATGTAGTGTTGTTTCTTTTCTATATTCAATGTATCTTGTAATACAAATTGAAATGGCCTGAATTAGTTATTTCCTTAAGTCCTAACTTGGTTCATACATATATATTACCTTAGTCATAGGCCTGTATGGTCCCTCTTCAATTATTCTTAATAGAGTAGATATTGCCGTTCCTTTTTCTTTTGGTGTGTGGTAAGATTTCCTTTTTTTGGTTTAACTATATGGCATTCCGAAATCCATTGGACTGACTAATCTGGATTCGTGCCTTAGGGCCCATTTAAGGGTGAGGTGCTCCCTACCATGAAATACTCCATTCTTAGGTATGGCTGTCCAACGGGACGGGATAAAATTAACGGGACGACATTTAGCCAGGACGGTGGCGGGACGGGACGAAATGGGACGGGACAAACGGGACNGATGGAACGGTAGGCCCATCCTGTCCCGCTAACAAATGGGACGGGACGGGACAGGACGGACGGTAGGCCCATCCCATCCCGCTAACAAACGAGATGGGACGGGACGGGTTCGCGGGCCTTAAGTGCCATTTTAAAAAAAATTATTTAAGCATTGAGTTTGACAACGGATATTCTTTTGGCAATGACTAAGTTTTTAAAGTTTGCAACATCTAGTTTTTTGACTTATTCAATAAATTTAAAAATTAAAC